CAACCTAGTGCCCTCACCAAAGTCAGACAAATCCTTAATCTACTTTGCATGCACATACCCTTGTCAGTCGTTATGCGTAACAGCGTCTGCACTGTGAGACTAGGCTGACAGTATAGTGCATAGGCGTTGTACTTTAGCTGCTCCGGACACAGCAAGCGACTGACAGCACTAGGCTCTCGTCAAGGATTTAGGAATTTTAGCAATTAGTGTCAAATTAAAGTCTGTTCCTGCAGACTACCAGTTACATGTGTCATCTGAGGATGATGATGGTGAGAGAGAGCGAGAGAGAGAGAGAGAGAGAGAGAGAAGTAGTGTAAGTGTAACATGAAGATCACGAACGCAACTACTTTAGAAAAAAAATCACCTCAAAGGCAATTTTCAATATCCTATTGTATATATATCCCATATAGAAATCATGATCGGATTAGGTTTAATAAACTGCGTTGTAATTTCCGCAAATTTCAATAGGCGATGGACGAGGGTACTGAAATCGTATTAAAGATGAAAGGTTGATTAAAACTTGTGGATAGTGCAATATGCTTTTGACAGCAGTGGGCATTGAACCAAGTTGGAATATATCTTAACTATGCGATAAGAATTCTGTAAATGTTAGCTTCTTAGCTCCCTGTAGAAAAACGATTTTGTTGTCGGGAGGTCTGATAATTTTCTAGATAATCCAGCGCAATTTTACCACATAGTATTGGAACTGGATCAAATATTCGCATGCCCTTTTGCGCTTCTGATTTTCCTTCTTTCTTTCCGTCCATGTGGGGATATACAATGTTTTTTAATATTTTTATTAATATGAATATGTTTGTGTGTATGACTGTATGATCAATGTGCATTATTATGCTTCATAATGTACCGTACGTTAAGTCTCCTTCCCTGGGGGTTATTCCCCTTCTCTCACTCCCTCTCCCTCCTTCCCTATCGTTCTTCTTCTCTCTCTCTCTCTCTCTCTCTTTTCTTTCTTTCTTTCTCTCTCTCTCTCTCTCTCTTTATCCCTTCCCCCTCTCTCTCCCTTCCCCCTCTCTCTCACTTCCCCCTCTCTCTCTTCCCCTCTCTCCCTCCCCCTCTCCCCCCCCCTCTCCCTTCCCCCCTCTCCTTCCCCCTCCCTCTCTCTCTCTCTCTCTCTCTCTCTCTCCCTTTCCCCCTCTCTCTCCCTTCCCCCTCCCTCCCTTTCCCCATCTCTCGCCCTCTCTCCGTCTTGCTCTCCCGCCATCCAGCTCAAAAATCATATTGCATGTTGATAAAACAAATATGAATAGAGGACGGAAGTGGAGATGGATTGGACAGTAAGCACTAGATCTGTAATTGAGTGGTGAATTTTTGTTTTTTTGGCCATAGCTTCTAGTAATACGCCAACTGACCGGAACGCTGAATGATAATAGATGAGCCTGACTCGTCCAAGTTAATGGGGTCTCTTGTATTTGACAATTCTGATGACTACCTTATTTCATCTCTCAAGTGCGTTCTGCGTGTCTCTCCTTTGCCTGTTATATTTTGATTTCTATAAACGGGCTCTATGTCTGTCTTTCCCTGGACGTGTATCCCCCTCTTACAGTCTCTTTACCCCCCCCCCCCCTCCTCTCTCTCTCTCTCTCTCTCTCTCTCTCTCTCTATCTATCTCTATCTCTATCTCTATCTCTGTATATATATATATATATATATATATATATATATATATATATATATATCTCCCTCCCTCTCCTCTTTCGCCCTCTCTCCCCTCTCTCTCCCTTTCATTCTTTTTCTCTCTCCTTCCCCTATCTCTCTCTCTCCCTCTCTCTCTCCCTCTCTCTCTCACTCACTCTCTCACTACCTCTCTCTCTTTCTTACCATCTCCCTATCAATTCTCTCTCGGATACTGATGTCACGAACACAAACAATCGTACTCAATCTTTCCCTCTCTATCCAACCGTCATGAACTCCCACACAGCTCCCCTCTACTTTATATTAGTCCTATATCTCTTTCCCTGACTAAGATCCCTTTTTTTGTCCCAAAAATTTCGCAACGACTCGTTTAGTGAGGGGGGGGGGGGGGATAAACCCCTCCCCCCTCCTCAATTTTTTGTATGTGTGTAATTTTTGATGACCCCCCCTCATTTTTATTTTAATAACAAAAAGTGACCTTACCCCCCCCCCTCACTAAACGAGTCGTTGCGAAATTTTTGGGACAAAAAAAAGGGATCTTACTCCCCCCCCCCCCCCCCGCTTATTCAGCGGCTGGCTGAGGCGTTGCGAAATTTTCGGCGCGATTTAAAAATGTTAAACCCCCCCCCCCCTTGAAAAAATCCTGCGTACGCCACTGGTACAGCTTGTAATGATTAATTATTAATAATAAAATTGAAACAAAAAACAAAAAAGCGATTTGTCTACTGAATAACTCTTCTAAATTAAAAATTGTCTTTATTAAGTGCTTAGCGATGACAGTAATGAAACAATATAATTATACACCTGTAGTATAAACCATAGATAAATCGTAGTTTCATATACTTACTTTAGTGATAAAATTCTACATTGAAACAAAAGCCATTAGGCTTTAATGGGCTACTAAACTGAAAGTAATATTAAATAAACTCGTCACATTGGACATTTATCATTATCTAAGAGACAACTCTAACAAAAACAATGAAAATTAATTTCATAAATTCAATGAATTAATTTATTTACTTTGCTTTCACTTGCACATTTTTCACGCAGAGTGTTACTTATTAAAATAGGATTACGCTTCTTAATAAACTCAGGCCTTTCATTTAACTGTGACTGTTCAGAGTGAACAAACGTTGCTAGAATCTCTTTCCTCTCTTAATTAACCATCAAGAAAGATCTTCTTTGGTGCCCGAATTTCCTGAGGCTTGTGAAAAACGAAGGTAAAAAATATGCGTTTCCTCCTACATTTATATTTGTTAAAACAACTAAGTGTGTTTTGATGTGTTCTTTTGTGATTTTTAAAGGTGGTACATTTTGGCATGAGTTATGAATTGTACGTCAACAATTTTATACTAAGCTTAACAATTAAACTGACTAATATACATGTTTAAGCAAACACAATGGGAATTATTTGTTTAAAAAAAAACTCTTCGTCAGAAATGAAAAATAAAAAGGATACACAATCTTAAAATTGCTTTTCAATATTCATTTTATAGACAATACGTATGTAACAGCGAACGAGCATTGTACTTCAATCGACAGCTTAGATTATCTGAGATCATTTTTTGTTGTATGGTTCTCCTTTTTGCAGACAGGAATCGGTCATCATGGCTTTCAAACACCCACTGCTTATTCTCCATTTGGTGATCAGTTTAAGCCAAACCTTGCACGGGGTTGCGACATTGGTTCCCTCCAGGAGCTTACATCTAGATACTTCTCTTCAGGGATGTGATGAGGACTTGGAACGAAAGACAGTTTTCTGCGGCGACCGAGGGTTCAATTCTGTGCCCCAACATCTTCCAGAGGACATTGAGGGTTTGTACCTTGAATGTAACAACATCACATTTCTCCTGAGCTCCTCATTTACAAAATATCCTCTCATCACCGATCTGGACCTTTCCTTCAACGACATTAGGGTGATAGAATCCACAGCTTTCCATCCTCTCAAGGATTTAACCCACTTGGTCATGGCATTCAATTCGCAGCTTGTGCTTTCAGGTACAGGCCTCTTCAAATGGGCAAGAAAGCTGTCGCACTTAGATGTGTCGGTATCACACTTGAAATCGATCCCTAATGACATTCTAAAATGGAGTCGAAATTTGGATACTGTGAACCTTAATGGAAACCTGCTCACCGTCATAAACATAAGCTCATGTGGCACAACAAGGCATGTCGACTTGTCTCATAACATGATAGAACACATCTCAGAAGATGCTTTTAACTTCGTGTGCAACTCTGATACTCTGGATCTAACAAAAAGCACCATCAGATCAGTGGATCCTAACGTGATTGCATCGCTCAATGTCAGATCAGTGATACTCAGGTGGTGCGTATTGAACATCGATGAACTGAGAAACATATTCATCGGTATCTCCCGTTCAGTGATAGAAAAATTTTCATTCACAAATAGCGCTGATTTGAGCGTCGTTCCGAAAAATTTATTTGATCCATTGCGCGACTGTTCTCTTAGAAGACTCGACCTCAACAATAATCAACTACACTCCCCTTACCCTTTCGTCTTTTCGAATCTGACAAGGCTCAGGCAATTTCATCTTCAAAAGAACGGTATAGTTACAATCGAACCACATTTCTTTGAGGACATGCACAATTTAAGAAAGTTAGACTTAAACGATAATCGTATTAAAGATATAAACACGTACAATCTTTCATGGACAATAGACTTAACTGAGTTACAGTTATCCGGAAATTCTTTGACTGCAATTAGAGAATCTACATTTCGGGGTTTGCATAATTTAACGCTTTTAGATTTGCACTCAAACAAATTGCTCTTCACGTTGGAGGAGACATCTTTTTTGGAACTTAAAAGCATTAAAAAAATTGACTTGTCACAATGCAATATCATGGGATTTCAGTTGATGATCCCAAGCTTAAAATCACTTTTCCTAAATAATATGAGAACAAGTATGTTTCTACTACCAACGACGTCCTTCAAAAATGTCGAACTCCTGGAACATTTGGAGATGATACACTCGGGGTTTATGATTGATAACCTGTGGAACCCACTAGTGAATGTCTCTCTTTTCGACGGATTGTTCAATCTTACAGCTTTTGATCTGAGCAAAAATCCTATAAACAGCGCTACACGGAATACAGAGGATCTGCCTCCCGGGGTCCTGCAACAGCTTTCCGCTTTACACAATCTTTCTCTAGAAGACTGCAACCTTTCTAAACTTCATCCACAAGCCTTCACAGGGTTGAAATCACTTCGGCTTCTAATACTAAGAAATAACAAACTTAAGCAGCTTCCTGTCGATTTGTTTAAGTCATTAGATCAAGTAACAAGCATTGATCTTGATGGTAACGTTTTGACGGACCTTGATGGAGCGATCTTTTTGAGTAATCGAAAGTTAAAAACTCTTCTGCTATCAAACAACAGATTAACACGTCTCGAGCAAAATACTTTTAAACCGCTCTATTCTTCTCTGTTATTCATCGACCTTTCAATGAACACTATCGATTGCAACTGTGATCTAAGCTGGTTTCCTACCTGGCTAAGCGGACCACTTAGCCTCATTGAGGGCGATGACGACGACGACAAAGCCATATGTTCATCGGATTCTTTAGAGCCTTTTCGGGACGAGTATCTAATTGATTTCGATCCTAAAAAGTTCTGTAGCATCAACATCGCCCTCGTATGTTTGCCTACCCTCGCCATCATTTGTCTGATTTTCATCGTCGCACTCGTATACCACTACCGGTGGCCGCTGAGGTACAGACTGTTTCTAGTCAAACTGGCAGTTCTTGGCTACAAGGAGATGCGAGACGCTAGGGATCATAATGATTATGGGTTTGACTTGAATGTCATATTTTACGATGATGACGAAGAGTGGATTCGCGAACACCTCCGACCGGCTCTCGCAGAACGGCTTCCGCATTTTCAGAGGAATGTCTTTGGCGATGCGGACCTCGTCCCGGGAATGCATTACTTAGAGTCTGTTGACTACGTGGTGAGTCATAGTTACAAGACCATCGTAGTGCTCAGCAGTGCTGCTGTGCTTGATCACTGGTTCATACTCAAGTTCCGTACAGCCATGGACCACGTGAGTGACACTCTGACTGAATTCGTTGTCGTGGTCTTTCTCGAAGACATCCCAGATGATGAAATGCCATTCTTGGCGAGGTTGTACCTCAGTGATGGCAGACCATATATTCATTGGGCTGAGGGCTTAAGAGGACAGGAGCATTTCTTCGATAAATTGACAACAAATCTTACCATCAATCTCCGGACCAACGACAGGATCCCCAACGAGTAATTAGAATGTGACACATGTTTCAATTTAGGGATGTTTTGCGTGTATAGTGCACTCTCTTTTGACTGTTATATACCTACATCTTGGAAATTTTCCTGTGACTGTGGACATTGCACTTTTTTCGACGGTATGTGAACAAAATTACTGTCGAGATATATTCGCTCTTCGTCTTTTTTAATCAAATATTTTAGCGAATTTATATTTCAAATTTGGACATTCTGCGCAGGCGCGTACGCAGGAGGGGGGGGGGGGGGGTGTTTTGGGGGTTAACCCCCCCCCCTCAATTTTTTTTAATAGTTTAAAAAAAATAAAAAAATCGGCGCGATTTAAATTTTGCGTCCGCCACTCCCTGACTATCTCTCGTCGTATCTGTATTATTATTCTTTTTTATAAATGATTTCAATTGATCGTTTTTTCCCGATCAACAAATCTACATGACTTTGTATATCCACTTTTATTCACTCTCCACCCCTCCCCCTTTCTCTTTTTCTCTTTCCTGCTCTCTCATTTTCTCAATCCATTCTTTTCCCACTTGTTCTCTCCTCCAACGCCCAAAGGTTTGTGTTCCATATCTTATTACTTTGCCGGATACTTGTACACATCTTCCTTGAACTTTTGTCCAGTTCACTTGTCTTCTTCCCCTCTCGAATCGATCGCTTTCATTCGCTAAGCCCTGCTTTTAAGACCGCTGAAGAGATAACTCATCACTCTATATACTACTTATTCCATTCGCGATTCTAGATGAATACATGCACGTGTACATTAATCTATAATCAAATATTTTCAGGGGGATATTTGCAGTGGTCTACAAAAGTGCCTTCATTGAGAGGACAGAAAAAGACGTCTAACCGATGTTGGTATTAACTGGTTTTCTCGATGTCCCATTCATTCCCCATTCATTCCCCCAAAACATTAATAGCTTCTAAAATGTTAAGTTGGCTAGCCAGGAACCTTGAAAATATATTCTACCCCTGAAGAACATAACTAGGACATGAGATTAACACATTGAGGATAAACAGTTCAATTACGTACCTTCAACTTCCAACGATCTTCGATAGAATTACCTATTACGTGTACTCGTCTCATTATGCATTGCATCTGAAATATCACCATGTCGTGTAATCATATATGATAGCGTTCTTGTACGATACGATCTAATTTAGATGGCCGAAGAGATTGCCCCAAATACGTCGGAAATAAACCCCCATTTAACCTGTCTAACTCCTTTTTCACGAATATTTATCCTTATGGGAAGTCTTATTCCAGTTTTTCATTTTACATCAGTTTTTTTTCTCCATTAGTGCAACTTCGTGTCACCCTCATCCACGCGATTCGATTTTGTCATTTTTAAATTTCTTTTAACGTATTAGATGTTATGTACATACTAGAGATTTGCTCATGCATGTTTGAAAAAAAAGGGCCAAATTTACTGTGTCATTTTCAACTCGATCTTGCCCGTATAATCTGATGATAGCGGTTGTTTCTTGTCAGCTTATTTTTTCCCCAGTACCCAACGTTAAATATTTCGTCATATTCACAAGCCTCCTTAAACACGTTTTCGATTTTATTAAGATCAACTTCGTACAATAAAGACATTCTTAAGTGTTTTTTGATGGTTTACAGGTTGATTTCTAGCTATTTTTCTTATCAGTATGTGAGTTAAATGGTGGGGGATAATACAATGACAATGGGCACTTATATATCGCTCATATCGGTCACGCAGTGGCTCTCATGTCGCTTTGACATTAACAGCCAAGTCGCCGAAGTAACGTGCGCTCGATCATATCTATCGGGTACCCATATACACCTGGATGAAGAGTGGCAAATGTAGATTAATGTCTTACCAAAGGACGATAATAATGGGTGGATTAGTGTCGGGCGACTTATCCACTATAGACCACAACTCAATTTGTAATAGTGTCATAATTTTATATAGAGGGGGTGGGAAGAGGGGAATCGACCCATTGTTAACATCATTTTTTTGTATTATTTTGTCTTATATTCATGCAAGTTTAACTCCATTTTTTTTTCTGGACCTCTACAAAAAAACAGATCCTTTTATCTCACATTTATCTGGTGATGGCGTTTATTTATTGTGAGTTTCTTTTTTAATACGCCCCCGTTAAAACGTTTCCGATTTGTTGATTCCTGTCTGTTAGTTTTTCCCCCTAAACGAATTTCATTCATTAAAAACCGCTGACTGAAGGAATGTTCTTGGAAATCTAGGAACACTGATTCACATATTTAACAAGTTGTGATTAGCTTTCAAAATTCATTTGAAAGTCCTCGTTCGTTCTTTTTTCGTTAAACTAATTTCTTTCAATAAACCTGTCGAATCATTAAAAGATGATATCGCTTGTCACATCAAGGTTGTTTCCTATCTTTAAACATTGTGATTAACGTTCACGTTGTAGTAGACAGGCCTCATTCTTTCAATTTTCAAACGAATTGCATCAATGAAACCGTTACCTTACGGAATCTTATTGGAAATCGCAGTAACACTGATTCACATCTTCAACAGCTTCTGATTAGCTTTCAGAATTTCCAGGAAGGTCTTCGTCCATTCATTTATATTCATGGCATTCATTCATATCAAAATGATATTCGAAATCACAGTAACATAATTCCTCATCTTTGAAATCTGTGATTAGCTTTCAGAATTCGGTGGTGAGGCCAAGTTGTCCCTTGAAAACAATCCCCAGTTCCAGTACACCACCCAATAAATCGCGGCCATGTAACGTTGTAATCATTTTGACAGCTCCAACGCGGATGAGAGGAGCGACAAGTTTGTAATATCATCCGTTGCCGTGACAACATGAGATGAAATTTTTCATGCCTGCGCTCCTGACGTCGACACATATATACTGTGAGTGACAGGTCGTGTTCGACCAAACATATATTATTCGCTCTTTTAAAGAATGAGGAATAGGTTATATTCGCTTTAGAAAATAAGATCGTGGCGCTGCCGCTGATGTTGATCAAAGCTATTCAGCCACTTCAATCGGCCTATTTCCTTTGCCGGTGTTTAAGGTGGAATGTCCATCTCGTAATTCAGTAAGCATTACAAACAAAATAATGAATGTCGTTCAACCATTTTAATTTTTTGCAACTTATGAATGAACCGTGCTGTCTAAACACCTGATCCAAATCAAGCAACATTTTTCGTTTAGTAGATTTTCCTTGCATTTACTCAGCACTTCGCACGCTGTGTGTTATCAGTATATACTCCCAAAAGAATATTTGGGAACCATAATTATTATATTTAAACAAATCCGTTAAAACAAATTAGCTACTAAAAATGACTAACAATTCACTGTTATTGAATAGCTTTTGGGGGTTAATTCTGAAACGTTTTTAAAGGACAGTGGTGCAACAGATTATGTTTTAGCTTGCCAGTCAATAGTGATAATATCTTTTTTAGGTTGTACGGGCATATTGCAGAGAGGCTGTGGTTTCCGTTCTGATAGTACAGGCGTAATGATATTGAATACCCATTTATTCACTATATTTGATACTTCTTTGAATTAGCCGTTTGATTTATAAACTAGATATCTCACACTCGTACCATTTAAATGACGAAAAAAAGGAGGGAGGGTAAGTAAATGAAAATGAATCCCGCACAGTAATCTCTTCGCTTATTTACATAAACCTGTGATAATTAAGAACCAGTAGCCAGTCCTGTTATATTTGGTACGGACGATACGTTTAGATAAGGAGTGTAGATTGTATTAAGCGCTGAAACACAAGCAAAAAAAAACCGATGCTCAGATCAGTGAGACTACTATACGTTTATACCTTTGTATTCTAATTACGATCTGCTAGGTCTATAATGGAATATAATTATGTCTGATCTATAACTTCAATTAGCGCATCTATTAAACACACATTTCGTCCTACTATGTTATGATTATCCGCTTATTTCACGCACGGTTCGAATTTTACAAGAATCTCGCTTTTATTCCCCAACAAACCATTTGTAAATGGGCCGTCTGACCTCTGTAATAATGGAAGTAGGTTAATTGAGATGTACAGACCGCGTGGATAGGAACGTACTTTCACGGGGACCAGAATAGATAAAGACTGATCTGGTAAACAAGGAATAACGGGTCGGAAACAGGGCACGCACTGGGGGTAATGACAACGGATGGGGGTTAGCATGGATCTGGTAGACTGTAAGAAGGGAGGGAGCCAATTGATAGGGAGATGGCAAGAAAGAGGGAGAGAGAAAGACAGATAAAGATAGAGAGAAGGAAGAGAGAGAGAGAGAAAGAAGAGAGAGAAAAAAAGAGAGAAAAAGAGAGAGAGAAAAAAAAGAGAGAAAAAGAGAGAGAGAAAAAAGAGAGAGAGAAGAGAGAGAGAGAGAGAATGAGAGAAGGAGAAAGAAGAGAGAAAGAGAGAGAGAAGGAAGGGGTGGAATAGAGAAGCGAGTAAGAAAAGAGAGAGAACAAATGAAAAAAGAGAAATTAGGGGAAAGAGAAAGAGAGTGAGAGAAAGAGAGAGAGAGAGAGAGAGAAAGAGAAGGAAGAGAGAGAGAGAGAAAGAGGAGAGAGAGAGAAAAGAGAGAAAAAAGAGAGAGAAAAAAAGAGAGAAAAAGATCGAGAGAATGAGAGAAGGAGAAAGAAGAAAGAGAGAGAGAGAGAGAAGGGGTGGAATAGAGAGGCGAGGGAGAAAAGAGAGAGAACAAAATAATGAAAGAAGAGAAATTAGGGGAAAGAGAGAGAGATAGAGAGAGATAGAGAGAGAGAGAGAGAGAGAGAGAGAGAAGCGAGGGAGAACAACAAGACGATGCAAACAGAGAAAGGTAGTAGGATATATTATGTTTGTCTCATGGTCTGTCAGTTTTGTCGGCCGTCAGTATCATTGAACCATCTGACAAATTTCAGACTGACTGCGAGACCGGCAACGTAGGTCTGCAGGACTACTTATCCTCTTAACGGGATCAATCCATCGGACTCATTTCTTTGTTGTATATCTCCAAATGTATTATCATTATTATCTAGTGAATATCATTACTTATCTATTGCTCAATAAGGGATTTACCAAAATTCAAGTCTACCTTTAAACCTGGTTTCCAG